AACTCTGACAGACCCCAGGCTGTAACTCTGACAGACCCCAGGCTGTAACTCTGACAGACCCCAGGCTGTAACTCTGACAGACCCCAGGCTGTAACAGACATGTTAACATAATCAAAGATGTATATTTGTCCAGCATGAGTTTTCTTCCTGAAGCACACGAGTGGTGATTTGTCTCCACCTTTGTTCCTGCAGTTCCTCAGCACTCTGTTCGCTCCTCTGAACTTCATCATGGAGAAAGTGGAGAGCATCCTGCCGTCCAGCCTCTGGCACCAGCTCACACGCATCTGACCCGGAACGACCTCACTCAGAACCAGAACCAGGACCAACACCACGAGCAGACATGAACAGCTGAGCTGAAACCCAGAACAGACACACCTTTGTGCCAAGATTGACAGAGTTCAAACCAAACAGAAGAAGGATGGTGGGACGCTGCAGAACAGAGACATCCAGAACTGGTTTCCACTTTGACATTTGCATTTTTGGGGCTTTCGGTCGTTTAAAGCTGTTTTTTTTTTTTTTTTGATCAATTGCCATCATTAAAAAAAGTGAAAATAAAAAAAAACAATAAAAGGACTTTTTGTGTATCTCTGCAAGTATGTTTCTCATGCTGTTTTAATTGTTTGTGTTTAATGACTGAGTTCAGCTTCCTCAGACATAAACATCACCTGGAGTTCATTTGTTCAGATGATAAAAAAACAAACGATATGTTGTTCACTTCTTAGTGACTGCTTGCCTTCTCTTGGTGGAGGAGTTTGTGGACCTGAATTGTTCTGGGAACTCTGCAGTTGGCGTTAGTGGTCCCTGATGGGGTCTTCCAGGTCTTTAGGTGACAGGCCAGACAAAGAGCATTTCATGAGACTCGTTTGGACAGAAGACAACAAGGACCTCAGGGCCCCTCACCCTGACGTTGGTTACAGGGCCCCTCGCTGGAGCCAGGCCTAGGGGAGAGCACCTGGCAAGAGGGCCTCTACCTCTGGGGCTAGGTTGGGCTCAGCCAAAATGAGCAACCTGGGTTAGACTTCCTGTGAGCTCACCACCTGCAGGACTTGGGTACATGAAGTGGTGGACAGCAGCCAAAGATGGGGATCTTGGCGCTCCAACCCTGGCTTACCAAAGCTGTCCCTGGAACATGACTTCTCTGATGGGGATGGAGCCTGAGCTTGTTCATGAGGTAGAGTTAGTTAATCTCAGGACACGGCATGGGCTGTGGAACCAGCTTCCTTAATATGGGCCAGACCCTATTCCACTCCAGCTGCCTGTGGAAAGAGGCACCTGGTTTACATCCCAGCGGAGGTGGGGGGCCGAGTCTTAGTGGGTCATGTTCGGCACCTCCAGCTGCCCTGAGCTGCAGCCGTAAAGATGTCAGTGGCCATTGTTGTACCTGGTGGTGGATGCACTGACTGAGGGAGGTTAGTACTTAAGAGCTGAGGGGTATTGATGGGCTAAGTGGGCTGCAGCCCTGGTTGGTGCAGAAATGAGAGCTCAGATGTGGGAGGAATTTGGTGTGACTCTTAGTGACACTCGATTGGCTCCAAGAAGATTCTGGTAAACATCAGATGTCTGAGGTAGGGAAGCAGTAGTGTCTAGTGGAGGTTCGTTTGATTTTGACGATGTTGTCAGGCAATGGAGTCTGGGGGGGGAGGGGGTGGTGTTGGTTGGTTCCATCCTTCATCAGGGCTGAGGTAGTTGGTTCAAAAGCTCCACAACGGCAGGGTCTAGGGGTAGACGAGATCTGTCCTGATTTCCTAAAGGCTCTGGATGTTGTGGGGCTGTCTTTGTTGCCATGCCTTTGCAATGTTACTTGGACATCGGGGGCAGTGCCACTAGTTTGGCAGACTGGGGTGGTGGTTCCTCTTTTCAAAAAGGGGGACAGAAGGATGTGTTTCAATTAAAGGGGCATCACTCTCCTTAACCTCCCCGGTAAGGTCTATTCAGGGGTGATGGAGAAGAGTCTGATCGATGGTTTAACATCAGATGTAGAAGGAACAATCCAGGTCCAGTACCAGAACTGTTTACCCTCACTAGGGTCTTTAAGAGGCTATGAAAATTTTCCCAACCAGTTGGTGTTTTGTGACCTTTGGACACTAGGGGGTGCTCAACGAGTTTGGGTTTGGGGATTTGTTGCAATGGAAAATTCTTTATCACTTGGTCTCAGTTTGATGAAAATATTTCAGTCACCATTTTAAGCACTTTTAAACCTGAAAATACCATAAAATATCAAACTGAATCATTTTCAAGGTTTTCAAGTCCCCAGACAAACCGTTTTATTCCCCACCCTGTTTGAATTTGCTGATGACTTTATAAAATATACAACAAGACAAAAGTCTTACATTTGAAAACAGACTGACAGTCACTTCAGGTTTCAGATTTATTAATAAGAAGAGCAGCTAATAAAGTAAAACATGAACATGTGTGATCCTCAGAAGTAAAAAGCACCTGACAAAGTGCAGGATGGTACGTTCTCTTGTTGGAGCTGTGATGAGTTAAAAACAGTTTGTTGACAGAAACAAATCTGAAGTTTAACAAAAACCAAGCTGTCAATAAAACTCAAGCTTTAATATTCAAACTGTTCGAGTCCAAACAGAACATTCATAAAGATCCAGCAGAGTTATGATCTCAGTTCTGTGTTCTCAGTGCACCTGTGGATCATCCTTCAGTCAGGTTTCTCTCATCAGTTCTTCAACTCATCAGGCTTTAAAATTAAGCTGCAATCAGAGATTTACAGGAACTCATCATGAAACTGTCACTGTTTGGGGTTTTTAATAACTTTTTAAAACTTTTTTAGATGAAATGATCATAAAAATACAGCTTCAGTAAGTTTTCAAAATAAAATTTTAAATCACAAGTTTTAATTTGTTCATGGAATTTCTCTAATCAGGGTCAAAAGTATGCATACATACTTCAACATTCACCTAAATATTCTAACAAGGGGTGGTGAAGGATCTTCAGTGTCTTAACTCGATCAAACCAGGGTCTGCTAACCTCTGGTTCATGATCACGATTAACTGCAGCTTGTAGTTCCTCTGCAATAAAAGGATTTCTTTGACAGAACTTATTTTACAGACTAGAACAAGGGGAACATTCAGGTGAACAAAATCAGCTGTCAAGCATAGTGGTGGGAGCATCATGCTGTCGTAGTGATGCACAGAGTGGTGGGAGTAACTGTCTACCTCAGACCTGTCTCAGGCCTGTCCCAGACCTGTCTCAGGCCCATCTCAGATCTGTCTCAGGTCTGTCTCAGACCTGTCTCAGATCTGTCTCAGGCCCGTCTCAGGCCTGTCTCAGGCCTGTCCTAGACCTGTCTCAGGCCTGTCTCAGACCTGTCTCAGGCCCGTCTCAGGCCTGTCTCNTCCTAGACCTGTCTCAGGCCTGTCTCAGACCTGTCTCAGGCCCGTCTCAGGCCTGTCTCAGGCCTGTCCTAGACCTGTCTCAGGCCTGTCTCAGATCTGTCTCCGAATCATCTCAGACCTGTTTCAGATCTGTCTCAGACCTGTCTCAGATCTGTCTCAGGCCTGTCTCAGATCTGTCTTCTGTCTCAGATATTTCTCAGACCTGTCTCATACATGTCNACCTGTCTCATACATGTCTCAGGCCTGTCTCAGATCTGTCTCAGACCTGTCTCAGATCTGTCTCAGACCTGTCTCAGAATCATCTCAGGCCTGTCTCAGACCTGTCTCAGAATCATCTCAGGCCTGTCTCAGACCTGTTTCAGCTCCGTCTCAGATCTGTCTCAGACCGTCTCAGATCTGTCTCAGACTTGTCTCATAATTGTCTCAGACCAGGCTTTTATTAGGCTTCTGGATCAGCCTTCCTAAATGGTCTTTAGCAGGAAACCAACCAGTTTTAATAAACTCTACAAGTTCTGTTCAGAAGAACTGTCAAATATTGAGACAGATTACTTGTGGGTGGACACAAAAAGCTTAAGGTGTAGTTTGCAACAGACAGTCAGCAATTAGTGAGTCTGTAACTATTTAGCACAAAGAATAAGTAAATTAGTGTTTGATAGATTTCTTTGTAACAAAGCTTCTTGGTAATAAATCTTATGATCGGCAGCACCTGGAGGTGCCCAAAGCTCAGAACAAGTGTTAATAACAGCAAAATAAGCTGTTTGACAGAGATTTGGCTTTTTTTCATGTGCACAACCCGCATACTCAGCTCCTCCAAAATGCATGTTCCTTACAAATGTGGCATCATTTAAAAGGGAATGTAGATTATTTTTCCAAGAAAAAAAAAATCTACCAAACACTAATTTACTTATTTTTTTATACTACGTTTATATTAATATAAGTATGCATACTTTTGACCCCAGCTGGATTAGATAGAATCAGTAAAACATTTTTGAAGAAGTTTTTTTGGTTTGTTGTATTTTTTTATTTCCTCCTGGAAAAAGAAACTTTTAAACATCCATCCATCCATCCATCCATCCATCCATTTTCTGTACACGCTTCTTCCTTTTCAGGGTTGCGTGGGTCACTGGTGCCCATATCCAGCAGTCACAGTGCGAGGGGCGGGGTACACCCTGGACAGGTCGCAAGTCCATCACAGGGCCAACTTTTAAACAAATCCTTACAAATAAAATAATAATGATGAGGATGAGTGTCTAACTGTAGATTATTTGTAGATGTGTCTCAGGTTGTCTGATCCATGCTCAAAGGTGAATGAATACATTTCACAAACAAGAAAGAAGGAGGTCCTCACTTCTCAGAACTTTCTTCTTGCTGTCCAGTTTGAAAAACAGAGAAAATGAGCCTCTGATCAGCTGATCTTTGAACAGATTCAGAGTGTATCCTCTGATAATCCCGCAGGTTGAGTGCAGGTGCAGTTCCAGGTGCACCCAGTGGGTTCTAGGTCACGTCTGGCCCTTGCAGGTGTGCACGTCCACCTGCTGCTGGCAGTCCCGGCAGTGGACGGCGCAGCACCAGTGGAACTTACATTCACACTTAACGGTGCGGCTGAGGCGGGACGTGTCGTAGCCTCGGCCGCAGCACATCACCTCGCAGCTGTCCACGCCGCGGGACATCCGGTTACAGAGCCTCCCTCCGGTCCCCATCGAGCCTGCAGAGAGTCCAGACAACACCACACCAACTGAGATCAGAGACCGTCACTGTGAGAACCTCGGTCCTCTTCAGTCTGAGTGGAGAGAGAAACATCATTCTGATCCGCAAAACCTAAACCCAACATAAATTCACAAATTCTGCAATAATCTATCATCCTAAAATCATACATGCCTGTGTGACCACTGCTGTTTCACACTGATTGGACCTCATGGTTCTGTATGTGTCAGGTATGAGGAATAATCCACAGAGCTACTGGTTCCTGTGGTTCAGTGTGTGTGTGTGTGTGTGTGTGTGTGTTTCTGTGAGGTTCATTTTAGAGTATATGGTCAGGGTTAGGCTACAAAGTCTAAAAAACATGAATGGAAGTCAATGGAAGGTCCCCACGGGGTCGAGAAACAAACGTGTGTGTGTGTGTGTGTGTGTGTGTGTGTGTGTGTGTGTTGAGGTGATTTATAACACTGTGAGCTTGTCTCAGGTTTCAGTGTGTAATAGGTGTTAAAATGGCCGACACCTGATCACCACAGATCGTCCTCTGAAGACAACACACTCCTGTCCCTCTGTGCGTCTCACACAACCTTCTTACACAAAGGTTTTGTTTCTCACACATCATTTTGTCCCAGCCTGACATGTTTATCTGTTCCAGCAGCAGAGGTGTCCTCAGCTTCTGTGTGAAACGTCCCAGAGTTTCCTCCCAAACACTGGGAAACGATGAAGGTATTTTTGAGAAGCTAGAAGGAAGCGGTTGTTATCCACACCTGCTGTTTCACATTAACTGCACCAAGCTGAAAGTCCAGCAGCCACTGGTAAAGTAGTCTGTAAAAATGGTGGGTGCTGGACATTAAAGTGTTCATATAAAGAAACGTGTCTGGCAGGTGCAGAGTTTACCTGAGTCCTGGTCCCGTATGCAGTAGTCCGGCGAGTCCTCCAGGTAGACCAGGTCGTTCTTGCCGGGCCGTTTGAAGTGTGTGTGCGCGGGGGTGAAGCCCGTGCCGTACTGGTTCACTGCGACCTGCACAGCGCCGTTGTACCTCCTCCTCAGGTGCTCGCCCGTGTGTCTGAAGTCAGCCATGGCCTGCCAGCAGGTCCGCACGCTGCACGAGCCGCTGACGCCGTGACATTTACACTCCAGAGTCAGGAAACGCTTCACCGCCTGCGAGGGAACGCAGATGTGTTTCACCTCAGAGCATGTAATGAGGACGACTCTCAGCTGCTATCACATCAAACCGTAGCTCAATATCTGTAAAGCTAGCTGAGTTATTTGCTACGGTTGCCAAGCAGTGGCGGCCATCTTGAATGTGGCGACTTCTTTACCCTCCTGCCGGCTCTGTTGTTGTGCAGATTCATCAGGGCTCGGGCGTCCCTCTCCTCCCTCTCCTTGGCATCCACGAAGGCTTGGCTGAAGTGGACGGCGTGCTCCACGTGGTCGCTGCAGCCCCCCCAGCTGAACGGGCCCTGAGCGTCCTGCGACGGACCCTTCTTGGTGGGGTCACAGGAGCAGGAGTCCAGCTCACCCCGGCTGCAGGCTCGTGCCAACGCATAAACCACTCCGGCCGAGGACAGGGCGTAGACAAAGGCCACCTCTCTGCTGTCTGAAAACACAACACGTCCAGGTTTCTGTGTCCTTTAACAACAATCTTTGTAAAGTTTCCTGCAGCAGGTTTCATATTTGTACTCTTGAATAAACACCTGGTATTAAATGTCCAACATTAAACACTGAGAAGATGAAAAATACAAGTGGGAAACTCTTGCTTTCTATGCATTACACTGGCTTTTTGGTACATGGTTTATTACCTGATTCAATGACATCTACCATACCAGTACCCATTATTAAGGACAAAGCTGGTAAGATTAGCTCTCTGCAGAATTACCAACCCATAGCTTTAGCTAGCAGTGTGCCAAAGGTTTTAGAAAGAAAAGTCTTCACCTCTGGTATCCACTTTGCTTTTAAACCTAAACACTAAAGGAGATCTTAGACTCGTATAACTTGCACAACACTACAATGTTTATGTATTTTATTGATGCCTCTAAAGCATTTGTTTGTGTGAATAATCAAAAAAAGAATTTTTTTTACAAGTTACCCAAATATTTAAACAGAATGTTTATTTACTGGTATGTATCAGTTAGTGTATGTGAGATGGGGTAACACTACACTATCTGATTCATTTCATGTTGGTAATGGAGTAAGGCAGGGAAGTATACTGTCCCCTTATCTCTTTAGCATTTATGCAAAGCTGCTAAATTGTTGCAAAACAGGCTGTGTAGTTGCTGACTGCCTAATCAATGTATGTAATAATGTATACAGATGATTTAGTAGTCCTGTCCATACAGTGTTGGCCTTCAACAATTATTAAAGAGATCCATGATTAGTTGTAACATTAGACTTTATTTGATAAACATTTATTTTAACTATAAAATAAAGACTGTAAAATACTGTAGGCTGTTTAGTTTTGTAAATTTAAAAATATATATTTTGACCGGACGGAGCCATTTTATTTACACACAAAGCATTCTGGGTAAATGATGACGTGGATAGGTCCTCAGTGTGAGCGAGCTATATCCACCCTGTAGGTTAATCTTGGACAATATCTGATGATAATGAAACCAGAGAGTGTTGACAGAGAGGAGAAGGTAGAAATGACTCAGCCTGGAACTGAAAATATGGATGGAGGACAACAGAGCTGCTTCATGGAAGAAGAACCTCAGCTTAGCCTGTTAGCCTTTGTGCTAGCACTGACACTATATTGGCTGTGTCCAAAACGACAGGCCGTGTCCTCCGGAG